GTTGTCGGAGGCACATTCGATCTCGGGATTGGGGCGTACTTTGTGAAACTAAAGTGTCGGATGCAAGTATACGGGTGCACCTGGAGGCATGACCACACACGAGCAGTGGGAAATCAATTCGAGGTGACTGCCAGGAGAGGCGGAAATCATACCTCGTATGCCTGCGCCTGGACATGGAGGATGTGTGTCTTGAGAGCAGCGTCGTCGTTGATGCCGGTCTGACTCTTGAAGAATGCGATTTCGTCGTCGTCGAGTGCATAATATTTGTCGGGGTCGTCGAGAGTGGGCTTGGGACTGGCCATGATCGCAGGATGCAAGTAGGCCGATCATGCAGAACAGGAAGTGTTCCGATCATGCCGACTTTGACAAGAATCCTCCAGCAAGAAAATTGACGACTCTCTAGTCTCACAATTCACTGGTGGGCCTCCACGATTGACTCTACTGGACTGCTCAATCATGAAAATGTGAGGCAAGGTATATTAAGTTATGCGATGGGCCTGCAGCGCGGTCATGTTTATTTGATTTGATCTAGACTTTCTTCGGGTTATCCTCCCCGTTTACCTCTGGTCATTGGCCCCCATCGAAATTCAAAAGCACTCAGTTCTTTCGCAGACGTCCAGAGCGGCTGCCGGGCTCTTCTGAGTGACCCGACATACTAATAGCAGTTCTACTTATGCTCGTCACATAAGTATATAAATGGTGTCATGCATCTCATCACATAACAGCGATCTTTGTATGCCGAACCGGCCGTCTCGTGCCGATATTCGATCGTGGCATGATACTCGGCTCGTACACAACTTCATAACCACGACATTATTGTTCTTGAATGCACACCTAAGGGATTTAGCCACCGCCCACTCCTCATTGCCCACATAAATCGACACACAGCTACGGTAGGATCATGCTGATCTCGCAAGATAACCTGAAGTCGAACTTTGATGCAATTTGATGGCTCATTGCGGCGTGCCCAAATGTGACACAGTTTCTTGCGGCTGGGTCCAGTAACAGCTACAAGATGTTTCATGCCGGACTCACATATAATCAAATCAATGTCCCAGACGTTCCATGCTGACGACTTTCTGCTCCTGCCGCTGGGCTCTGGTACGAGGAGCCAAGATTCCGTTATATTCTGCCACCAGCTGGGCTTCCAATGTCGGATTCTCAGCAACCCACTACCGTCGCCGCAACCGACGCGAATGAACGATCAAGACCTTGGGGTCTGCGGTGGAGATGTTCGCCTTGGTTTATCACCATCGGTAAGCACAACCCATCCTCAAGCACGCATATGATTGCTGACCCCCGGGCCTATCACACTCTTAGTACTCTGGTTAGGTGCGTAGCGACTAGTTGGTCTTGTTCTCGCTAAAATACCGGTTGTATTCCAGGCATTTTATCAGATTGGACGGTCTACTCTGTCATCGTCCCAGTCATCCCGTTTCAAATCGAACGTATGGGCTATTCTGACGTTTCTGGTCTCACCGGATGGCTCCTCTTTGCTTTCGTACGCCATATCCCCTGGATTATACGCTGTTAGACCACTGACCCGAATACTGATAGTCCATTGGGACAGTCGTGCGTCAGTCGTTTCCGACTATGAGATGGCGCCGAAGATAGTGATCCTAATCTTCTCTAGTCACCCCTCCGATTGCAATACTGTCTGAGCGATACAAGAACAGGCAGGTTCCGCTTATATGTGGACAGCTGGGTATCATTGCAGCCCAAATTCTGTTCATGGAATCACCGACATACTGGCCGATGATTATCGCTCGGATTCTGCAGGGCTTCAGCTCCTCTGTGGTGTGGATAGTAGGATTGGCGCTTGTGTGAGTGCGTGTTTGAAATATTACAACCAATTTATCTCTGATAGCTCAGATGTTATTGTCTTCGTCTTTCCTCAGCTGCGACACAGTCCACGAAAGCTCCATCGGGCGTGAGTTTGTTTTCAAGTTTCATACATACACAAAAGTTGATCATGACTGCAGGACATTTCGGGTTGGCCATCAGCGGGGCCGCTCTCGGGTGCACACGATTTTAGTTGTGCCACGCTGCGAGCTCATGCTGATGAATCATGTATAGAACGGTCATCGGGCCCCCAGCGTCCGGAGCACTGTACACAGCTTATGGTTTCCGGGCACCGTTCATCTTTGGCATTATCTTCTCCGCGGTAGATCTAGTAGCCCGTCTGCTAGTGATCGAGCGCAAACACGCTCTACAATGGGGAATCGACCCTGCCGCACTTCCTGCCCAGGCGGCAGATGCTGAGAAAGAAGGAGAAACGTCTGCACCTTCGTCTGGCGAAAAGAACGATAACGACAACGATGACGATCAGTCGTCGACGCCAAACAGCTCAGACATAGTTACTCTTGAACCGAAGGACGCGGAAGCTGTTGCTGTGTTGCCCATTAGTCCAGAGACGCATCGGGAGCTGAGCCTTCTTGAGACGGCGAACAAGCTCATGAGGTCACGTCGGGCTCTCGCAACATGCATCTGTGCCTTTCTTTACGCGTATGTCATTCTGCTCCCCCACTTTCTACAGTGCTCTCATCTGACCATGACTGGGGAATAGACTTGTAGTCACCCTCCAGGAGCCCGTTCTTCCCCTGCACATGCAAGCCATATGGAACTATGATTCGACCAAGGTCGGTCTCGTGTACATGGCCATCATTCTGCCCGGTATGATTTGTGAGTATATTTGTGTCACGTACGTGGGGTTGAAAACTGAGCCGCGATATATACTGCAGCGAGTATCATCGGAGGGTGGTTGATGGACAAGACGGGACCAGCCATCGTCGGAGCGATCGCAGTTGCATTCAGCATGCCCTGGTTTGGGTTATTGATACTGGACAAGTCTGTTGGTCTATTTATTGCCATGCTCGCGCTGTCAGGTGAGTGTTTCTTGGACAATAGTTTAGAAACCAGGCAATCAAAGTAGGCGCTGAGAACTTGTATACAGCCCTTGGCTTCACAGGTCTCTTAACGGTGACAAGCACGGAACTATCGTCGGCAACGAGGATGCTGAAAGGTGTCGGATGTCAGTATGGAACATTGTTCGGGAGGAAAGAATCAAATGAAACTGACGTGGACTTTCTGAGCAGTTGCGCACACATATGGGGTGCAGAACATGGCGAATGGTTTGGGATCTGCAGGTATGTGTATGCTCGGCGTTGTTCCTAGTTCTGAAGGACGAGCGATACTCACATTTGTATAAAGTGGGACCTATTATTAGCGGTCAAGTGAGTACCGCGCTCGTGTTTCGCCGAACAAGCCTGACGATTTCACCATTGCAGTTGTACGACCATCTGGGAGATGGCTGGACAGTGGTCAGTGCCCTCTTGGTGGCAATTGCGGGAATCGCGACTGTGATCATAGTTTGCTGTTTCGAAGAAGAGACATTGCTGTCGCGAATGCGGCGGCAAAAGCCAGAAGAATCAACCATAAAGGAGGCCCTGCCCGAAGCATAGTTACGAAGGTGTTCGATTATCATAGGTGTGCGGTCAATGCGGCAGAGATGCGCGATAATTTCAGGACGGTTAGACGAGGTCAATGTAACAGCAATGATACCGAACTATGATATAGTTGACCGTCCTCTTGAAGACCCATATACTACAAGTTCCCCAACCAGACCAGAGATTGGGGATTGATCTCACAAGCCATCGAAACAGAATGCAGATACCTATTTCCCACTGCAGAATGTCCATGTTATGTGATTATCAATTAAAAGATAGTAGGTAGCGATATATAGAGTACAGTAAAGTAGCTGTGAAAGGAATCTTAAACTATCGTGTTCTACATTAGTAAGTACATATTAGATGGATTAATATCATCGTCAGTTTGGCCCAACAACGAATGGCTTCGTCTTGTTGAACGATGCAATCGTCTCGTTAGATATTTGCAGATGTGCTTGCACCATAGCGGGTGGGATCAACGACAGCCACTGCAGATCCCAATCAGCATCACACCACCGTGCAAAGGGGAGAAAGCTAATAACACTTACTTGAGAAAGACTCACGTCCTGGAACACGTCTGTCCAAAGCAACAGTCGTCTCAGACACTGACGGAAAATCATGAGCGATCGTGTACCACGACATACCTGTGTTGCAGATCTCAAGGAATCG